GAGGGAGGAGGAAGGAAGGGAGGGAGGAAAGAAGGAAGGAAGGGAGGGAGGAAAGAAGGAAGGGAGGGAGGAAGGAGGGAAAAATGGAAGGAAGAAAGAAAGGAGAAAGAAGGGAGAGAGAGAAATAAGCATTTTTAAGTGCCTACTAAGTATCAAGCACTTTACAAATATTGTGTTATTTAATTCTCACAACAAGCCTTCAAGACAGGTGCTATTTTTATCCCCATTTTACAGATGAGGAAACTCAGGCAAATATCCTGAGTGACTTGCCTAGCATCACATAGATACTAAGTGTCCGAGGTTTGGAGCTTGGGTTTGAACTTGAGTCTTCCTGATTCCAAGCCCAGTGCTCTACCTACTTCACCAACTACATGAGAGGTATGCATATATTCGAAATGGGACCTAGAGGAAAAGGAGAGGTTCAGAACACTTAAAGAAAGTGTAAGCGGAAGAGTTCATAACCACCCAGCCTTCTCATCTATGTCCAGCCCCTTAAGCCTCCTCTCATTGCCACTATAGAACCCTAGACCTCAGCTTCACCGGATGGACTTAATGCCTTACCACGCCCCTCTTCCAGTTCTTTGGGCAATGCAGTCATTCCTACACTCCCCTGCCTTACGATCGTGGACCCTGATTCTCAAGGCAAAAGGATGGTTCAAGTATCCCTGTCCAACTGCTACCTGGGCAAGGCTGAACCCTGTCCTTTCCCTCCTCACCAACTCAGTGATTAGGAGCTGGAAGGGACCTAAGAGGTCATTCAGTCCAACTCTTTGTCTCCCCACCCCATTTTACAGATGAGAAAAAAAAGGCCTTGGGAGGTGGAGGAACTTTGCTCTAGGTCACATGGGTAAAGTAACAGAGCCAGGCTTCAAATGCAAGTCTGGCTCCAAATTGAAGTCTTTCAAAAAATTTCTTAAATTTTATTTCATTGAACAAAAAAGTATTTTCTCTCCCTCTTTCCCTCTTCTTCACCCCACTGAAAAAAATAAACAAAATAAATCCAGGTCTTTTTCACACCACACCATACTGCCTCTCAAACACTGTATAATATATGTATGACCCTACTAGTTCCTTTGGGGGAGGAAAGGAAGGCCTGAAATGGTACCAAAGAGCACACAAGCAGGTAAAAGGCTACAAAAACAATTTAGAGTTTTGCTGAGAGTGTCCCTATGTCGCCTGCCACAGTCAGAGGAACCAATGGGTTCTGACTTGGCTGCCATACCTAGAGACTGCTGCATCTCGCTGTGTGCACCTGGACACCTAGGAAGCTTCCCTCCCCCAAACCCTGTAAGACACAATAGATTCCCACTCTCCAAACCAGAGAGGGCAGAGACTAAAGCTGGGGCCAACAACCCAAGCATCCGGGCTTACTTTAAAGCTTTCAAAGCACTTTCCGTTTTCCTCTCTGAGCTCCGCAACAACCCAGTAAATTGGGTACTACTGGTATTGCAACTCCCATTTTATACATGGTGAAATGGCACTCAGAGAAACTGTCACCATGTGGTCAGAGCAAGTTTGAACAGAAATGTCAGAAAGCAGGTTTGAACCCAATTCTTTTTTACTACAAAGTTCTGCATTCTAAACAATACCAAGCTCCAAGCTCTCATTCAGTCTCTGAATCTGAGACTTCTTCCTATTTTATCTGCTGGTTCCATTTTTCTGTTTCCTTTTCCCCTCCCCCTAACCCGGAGACTTGTCCTACTGTTACATTTTCACTGGACAGTCACCACCTTGACTGAGAGCAGCATTAGGGGAAAGATTCCAGGGAGTCTGTGGGTGGAGAGCTGGGGTGAGGGGAAGGTAATGGAGGGGAAAGGATCATCTCCCTCCCCTCTGTTGAAAGGAGGGTGCATGTGGGTGGGATCTCTGTCTGGGATCTCCTGTGGCATCTCTCACAGTTAAGGTCTCAGGGAGGGGCTTTCTGAGGCAAGTTTTAAACCGATGCTCCTTCCCCTCAGTTGTGAAACTGAGCAAAGAATGGAGGTGGAGGTGGGACAGAATGACTTCCCCCTCCTATGGGGTCTTTCTCTCATCCATTTGCAAATCAATTTTTAAAAATAACTGAATGTACAGAACAGGTTTTCCTTCCATCTCTCAGGCTGCTCCAGAGGGCAGCTTCACCACACCCCTAGCCTAGAGTAAGTCTGCCTTTCTGGCCTCCCTTCCTTCCCCTTCCTTTCAGTGCAGAAGCCACAGACAGTTTGAACAGCCCAACCTGACCACCTTCTCCTTGCATCCTTGAGGGGTGGTGGGAAGGAGGGGGGTATGGGGGGAGCCATGGAAGGAAGTACCCAGAGTCAGTCTGCCTCTCAGAGAAAGCTCCATTCCACCCCACTCCAGGGGATGGCACAGACCTGGATATGCCACTTCAGCTGGGCACACTTGGCTTCTCCTCTAGTTTCTTTGTCTCACTTTTCTGCCTACTGTGCCCCAGCCCAGATTCTCTTTGCTCATCTCAGGGGTCCCCAGGGAACCCTGTCCCTATCTCCCTGAGTTTAACAGTACTGAGGCACCTGGGAACACTGGAACTCGCCCCAACACGCCTGGTGTCCTGGGCACATAAAAACACCCACAGCCCCAGGGACCCAAATCAGCATGAACATGCCAGGTCCTGAGGAGACATATAGAAGTGCCTGATTTCATAGGCAGGAACTTCTACAGTCCCTACATATGTGAGACTGGGCTTAGAGGGAGTCAGACTCCAGGGGAAAGAAGAGAGAAGGAAGGGAACATGGCTGTACCTACCCTTAAGGAATCAATTATTCCATCCTCACTACCAGCTTGAATAATAGTAATAACTAGCATTTATGTAGAACTTCAAGGTTTGCAAAGCACTTTATATACATTATCTCCTTTAATATTTGTTATTATCATCATTTTACAGATGAAGAAACTGAGGCTGAGTAAGGTAAAGTGACTCAACCAGGGTCACACATTCTGGTAAGTGAATGGGTCAGAATTCCAACTCAGTTCTTCCTGGCTCTAAATCCACTATACCACCTAGCAGCTTAGCAGTCACCTACACCATAGTTGAGCCCACAGGAGGTAGTAGAAAAGGGCAGTGGACATCACCAGAGAGAGGTCTTCATGACCCTGGAGGCTATATGACCAGAGAAAGGTTGGATTAGATGACCTTTGAGGTCCATTCCAACTCTGAGACTTTGTAAATCATTGCCAGGAGCCTGGGGAGTCCCATCCACCCTCCTTCCAGGACCTCAGGGCCTGTTCCTCTTCCAGAAAAACCAGTCCAGGCCCCTGCAGGCTCTTGGGGCAGAGGGGGCAGGTTAGGCAAGATTCCCCCTCTGGCCCCTCCCATCACTCAGACAAAATCAGCCACCCCAGGGCCTGGTCAGCACACACCTCGGGGACAAACCTTCATAGACTGCCAGATCCCAGCCCCTTCATGATGTCGTTTCTGATGCCCACCCTGCTTCTACTGGTGCTGCTGGATCTCGGGGCTGCAGGTCCTGGTTCCCTGCCCCAGTTCGGGTTGGAGGGAATAGGAATTGGGGTACCTGGCTGGGGCAAGATGGCTCTTCATCTCATGTAGGGTGGGGCTGGAGGTACCTTGTTTCCAGAGATGCTCTGAAGTTGTGCTGGCATTGGTGGGGAGGATAGGAAGTACTGAGAGAATATGAGGGTGCTGGGCATTGAGGTACTTGTCCAATGATAGTGGGTACCCTCAGAGCCCTCTTCAAACTAAAAGGGGAGGATGGGAGGAACAGGGAGGCTCTAGAGCTGGCAGGTCCAGAATTCTGCTCTAGACCTTATGTTCTGTATCCCTAGGGTTAAATCCCAATACCTGTGCCTTCTCAGTCTGTCTACCCTGGCAAAGTGGCCCAAGTCTGCCATCTGGTGGTCAGGTGGGCATTGGCTGGACTCTCTCTGCCTCCAAGGGCTCTGTCCTTCACAGTTCTGGGAAAAGATGCCAGTGTCAAGGATGGAAGCCAGACCCTAGTTCCTTTGAAGTGTAGTCAAGGGAGGTTTGGAGTACAAGGCCTGGGCTGTGTAATACAGTTTAGTCTTTTGTTGGGGCTATTCCTAAGGTCTCAGTTTCTCCATCAAGCCTTCCCTCCTCTGCCTTCCTACAGATTTCAACATCTCCAGTCTCTCTGGCCTATTGTCCCCAGCCCTGGCAGAGAGCCTTCTAGTTGCCTTACCCCCTTGCCACCTCACAGGGGGCAAAGCCTCTCTGAGTGTCAGAAGAGTCAATGAAACCAAAGGTTTGGGTCGCTCCTTCCCCTGAATACCTCATCCTAACCTCCAGAGCCTTTCCTTGTCATCCTTACCCTGGGTACCCCCTTCCCTTCCTTTGTTCTAATCCTTTCCCCAGGAGTATCTTACCCCTACCCCACCCGACTCCACCACACAACTTGATTCCACCCCTTTTATCCCCTCTTCCTGACCAGGAATAACACATAACTTCACAGTAACCCCCTGCCGAGGGCGAAGGGACCTGGTGAGTGTGGTATACAGCAGTGGCAGCTTCACCGTCACCCGACTCAATGCCTACCAACTCACCAACCTGGTACCTGGCACCAGCTACTTGTAGGTGCCCTACCTGGGAGAGGCAAGCACCAGTAGGGGAAAGTAAGGGGTGGAAAGAGGAGTAGTGTATTTCTGTAGGAAGTAGGCAGGATGGATACTTCTTGGGGAGGGCGCATGCTCTGGAGGGAGGAGGGCACTATTGGAAAGGTTATAACTGGAGGAGAGTCCAGAGACTGGTCACAGATCAGAGAGGAGATCTTTATGGAGAGAGAAGTATAGGAGGAACAGCATGGACCTGTATCCCCCTCCTCCAGCACCTCAGCTGCTTACTGAGTTCCTTTCTCCTCAAATTCCCCTTTCCCTCCAAGTGTCTCCTACTCCGTGGAGAAAGGAAATGCTGTAGAACACAGTAACAGAGTCCGGATGGCTACATTGCCTCGTGAGTAACCTCTCCCAAACTGAGCTCCCTACCGTGTGCCTAGCTCTGGTGTTCAGCCCCAGACTCACTTCATGGGTCTTGGGCCTGGACGGAGAGCTCCAGGCAGGGGAAATCCATATACCACCTCCCCACCCAACACCCTCCTCATCAGCCTCTAAATCTCTCATCATCCAACAAAGGAATATTTACTGAGTTTAGGTTTGCAACAGTTTATCCACATTATCTCGTTTGACCTTGACAGGCAGAAAAGTGGAGACCTTGGGGCTGGGCATGGCACGCACCGGGGGCATGATAGTCATTACTGTCCTGCTCTCCGTGGCCATGTTCCTGCTGGTGGTTGGCTTCATTGTTGCTCTGGCCCTCGGCGCTCGAAAATGAAGGCTCTGAGTGAGACCGGGATGGGGCAGCACTCACTTCCTGGGGACTTGGGATTCTACTCCCGGGGCTTCAGTCCTCCCTCCGGACCCTTCACTGACAGCCTTCCTCATTCCCCCTGCTCTTGGCCCTGCTTCAACCTCATCCCCTCACATCGACTTTTCTCCCCAGGATCTCTCTCCCCCTCCCCCACACTCCTCCATTCAATTGGTCTCTCATTCACTAAGGTCAAAAGCAAGCCAAGCCCGGAACTAAAAGGTGGGGGAGATAGAAAGTTTAGATAAACTCTAAGGAGTTTACAATCTACTAAATCCCCAGCCCCCATCCTGAGATCCTTCCCCTATCTACCCCAATCTTCCAATAGAATCTTAGAATTGTAAAAGAAAAGAAGTGTAGTCTGGTGCCACTTATAGTCCTCCCTAGACCCTACTGCTCCCAGGCTTCTTAGCCTCCCTTCTCTGCAGCCCCTCCCTACCCCCTCTCCCCCAGGCACTCCCTTCCCATATCAGTGCCACCTGTCCACCTTCCTTCTCAGCTGATTTCCTGTAATAAAGTATGGATGTTGCCTCTGTCTCCGGAGTCTCCTTTTTCAGCTCCCTCTTACTTAAATGCAAAACACTAGAACCGGCAGAGCTTTTCTCACCCAGTGGGCCAAGATGAGGTTAATAACAACAATAACACAAGCTCCCAGGCTGCCTATCATTTTCAAGTCCCTGCCTTACCACCAACCTCTCAATTCAATATTTAAAAAGTTAGTAGTTTGAAGGGTAGCTAGGTGGCACAGTGAATAGAGCATTGGCTCTGGAGTCAGGAGGACCTGAGTTCAAATTCAGCCTCAGACACTTCTCTGGGCAGGTCACTTAACCATGATTGCCCTCAAAAAAAAAAAAAACTTATTAATTTGAATGTTTCCTATGTTCAAAGCTTTGGGGATTTGAAAACCCAAGTGTCCTGATCCATGTACTGAACTCAGCAATGAAGGGCAATTAAATTAGTGTTGTCGAAGGGGTCCGTAAGAGCCCCATAGCCTGACCCACGGGCATGAGAAGTCTGAGGAAAGAGAGGCACAGGTTGGTAAAACCTAGAAGATACAAGGGGCCTGGTAAGAAAGAAGCAAGGAGGAATGAATGGGGTTCTAGAAGAACAGGAGGGGCGGGGAAGATTGAAATTGGGGTGAAGAAAGGCAACCCAGTAGATAGAGAGGGTTGTTGTTCAGTCATTTCCAACTCTCCATGACACCATTTGGTGTTTTCTTGGCAGAGGTAACTAGAGTGGTTTGCCATTTTCTCCTCCAGCTCATTTTATAGATGAGGAAGGAAACTGAGGTATACAGGCTAGTATCCGAAGCTAGACTTCAACTCTTGAATGAATCTTCCTGAATCCAGGCCCATTGTTATCAGAGTTATCAAAATATTTTTAAAAGATGTTCTGGGAGCCTGGGTTAAAAACCCCTGATTAAAGATTAGGCTTAGGGTTAAAGACTTTATATGGAGAGGAGTAAAGTTGAGAGGATATCGTAGATAGAGAAGAATGAAAGAAAGAAATAGAAGACAGAGAAAGGCACCTGGGTATGGACTAGGGGAAGGCACTAGAAAAGAGTGACTAGGAGGAGTTTTTACTCTGCTTAATCCCATCAACTTTTCTTGGGATTCATTTTAGGATTGACTGCTGCAAGAGACCATAGTTAAATCCTACTCTCCCTGCCTTTCTCCTGTTTTACAGATAAGGGAATTTCAAAAAGAGGTATCTAACTAACTTCAAAAAGGTCAAAATGGGGTGTGCTTGTAAGTCAGGCATGGTTGAAAAATTATGATAGTGAATATATTGCACTGTAAGAAATGATGAAAGAAATGGTTTCAGAGAAATTTGGAAGAGTTTTATGAACTGATGCAGAGTCAAGTGATCAGGACCAGAACAATTTGGTGTTGTTATGTAACAACACTATTACAAAGAAAAAAAACTTAGAAAGACTTAAGAACTGGTCAATATACTGATCAACTGTGACTCTAGAGTACAGGTATCAGATACACTAGCCAGCCACAGCCCACAACATTCCTCAGTGCTGCTGAATCAGATTAAAATGTGTTTGGGAAATATTTAACAAAATAAATGAAAATACAAGAAAACAGATAATATTACATTTTAAAACTAAGTCAAAGTGAGGCCCCCAGGGATCATTATATATGGATTAGTGGGCCCCATTTATTGCAAATCGAAACCGAGGCTTGCTGGCCGCATTTTGTGTTAATTTGTACTTTTCTCTTTTTTTTATTAGAGTTTGGGGATTTGGGGCCAAAAGAAAAAGAAAAGAGGTCATTGAAATATTTTTTAAAATATATAGAATAGAAGGAAGTCTGGAAGGAAACAGACAAGCTAGACAAAAAGTACAACTGAATTTATTATAAACTATTTTCAAAAGCAAGCTGTATGTAATAGAGATTGACATTTATACATATAATTCTTTTTCTGTTCTACTTTCTATACAGAAATTTTTTCTCTTTTTTGTATTCGTTAGTAAATAAAAGAATTTTTTTAAAGAAAAAAAGATCAAAACAGGCATTGTGGTACAGTAAAAAGAAAGCTGGATTTGGGGTTGGAAGACTAGGGTCGAAATCCTCTCTCTGCTACTTGGGTTACATTGGGTAAGACACTGCCTCCCTGGCCCCAGTTTAGGGGACTTGATGAGAACAGAAGTATCAAACTCAGCCCCTAAAATTCTGGGGTATAGCTGGATCCAGACTAATATAATTGGGAAATGTTTAACAAATTAAGTAAAAATACAATACAACAGAGATAATGTTCATTTGTGATTTTCCAAATTAGTATGAGGCCCAGCTATTTCTGAGTTTGACACAACTGAACTATAGGACCTTTCTCGCTCTAGATTTAGGATCCCACGGTCAATCTGCTATGTAAGGATTGACTTGATATTAAAGAATCAGCCCCTTTAGGGGAGGAGACAGCTGGACAATGACTTTGAAGACTTGCAAAGTCTTAAGAAGATTGGCTGTTTGAGAGAGGAGGAGGAGACAGTGTCTGGTACTTTTGCCCTAACCCTTGTCTCTCTCCCTCCCCACCCCCCCAATCCCTCAGGCCTGATTAGCCCAAATATAAAGAACGGAAGGGATTAGATTTAGTTTAGATTTGTTCCCACCCACCCACCCACCCAAGTGCTGACAGCTTCCTAGGCACAGCAGAAGAGTCCTGCACCAAGTTTCAGGGAATCCAGATTCTATTCCCCAGCATTTAATGAAATACTCTCCCTACTGGCCTCCTTCTGCCTCTTGGAATCCTAAGTTTCCTTCCAGACTCAGCTCAAGACCTTCATGAGGCCTTTCCTGGTGCCCTTGACTGCCAGTGCATTTTCTTCCAAGGTTACTTTTTATCTGCTTTACATATGTTTTGTGTATATTGTGTAGGTATGTGTTGTCTATTCATAAGCTCTATAAGGACACGGATTGTGTCCCTTTTTTCTTTGCGTCCTCATCAGGTAGCATATAGCTTTCGATGCTTTCTAGCTTGCTCGATTTTGTTGTTGAGTTGTTTCAGTCATGTCTGACTCCACTTGGGGTTTTCTTGGCAAAGATACTGGAGTGGTTTGCCATTTCCTTCTTCAGCTCATTTTACAGATGAGGAAACTGAGGCAAACAGGATTAAATGACTTGCCCAGGGTCACACAGCCAGTATCTGAGGCTAGTCTTCCTGATTCTAAGCCAAGTGCTCTGTCCACTGCGCCACCTAGCTGCCCCGTTAATTGATTCTCCTTTGACAGATTACTATAGAAAAACTCATTGGGCCTTCATTTCCCCATTTCCAAATGGGAAACATAATATACACTGCTCCATAAGGTTGTTGTGAAAAGTCAATGAGGGTACCCCGCCCACCTAATTCCAAGCCTTGGAAGGTGATTTTCCTAAGCTTCTGTGGCCACAAAAGTGTGTCATCTCCTGGCCACTCAACTTTCTGTGGACAGCCATTAGGCTGACTCTTGGACTGACCAAAAAACTCATCGCTGGCTTAAACTATAACTCTTCCCAGTTCTGTAGAGCCTATCGGCCCTTGCGCAGTCCGAGGACTCCACACTGTGAGAGCAGAGTAATCACTGAAGGAGGTCTGTAGAGGAAACTTAGGAGATTGTAGGTGCAAACAATGTTTGTTGGATGAATGAGAGTGCCCTAAAATGGTAATGCCAACACAAGACAAAGGGATCATTATTACAAAGGACCTCCAAAAAGGGAGAGGAGAGACAACCTAGGAGCTGGAAGGAGGTAGGACTACTGCCCAAACGAAAAATCCAGTGCTTGGAATCCAAGTATTGTTAAAAAATGTTTTTACTTAGACATCAAATAGAATAGGTCTTTAAATCTTAAACTCAATATGTCTAGAACCTAACTCATTATCTTTCCCTGTAGTCCCTCCCCACCTCCTAATTTCTCCATCACTATAGAGGGCAACACCACCCTCTCGCTCCCTCGGGCTCCCAACCCTGGATGACTCACCATCTCCCATCTCTTGCATCCAAGCTGTTGGCAAAGTTTGTCAATTTCACCTTTGCAATATTCCCCTTTCTCTTCTCTGACACTGCCATCACTCTAGTGCAAACCCACTTCACATCACGCCTTGATTATTGTAATAGCCTGCTGGTGGGGCTGCCTGTCTCAAGTCTCTCCCCACTTTAGTCCATCCTCCATTCAACCACCAAAGTGATTTTCCTAAAGCACAGGTCTGAGCACATCATCTCCCCTCAACTCAGTAAACTCCAGTGGCACTCTATCACTCCCGGGATCAAATATGAAATCCTTTGTTTGGTGTTCAAGGCCCTTCATAACTTAGCCCCCTCCTGCCTTTTCAGTCTGCTTACACTTGACACCTCACTTTTGATCCAGTGACGCTGGCCTCCTTGCAGTTCCTCCCACAAGGCACCCCATCTCTTGGCTCTGGGCATTCCCCCATACCTGGAATGCGCTCCCTCCTCATCTCGGCCCTCTGGCTTCTCTGGCTTTCTTTAGGTCCCAATTAAAATCACATCTTCTACAGGAAGCCTTCCCCAGCTTAATTCTAGAGCCTTACCTCTGTTGATTATTTCCAATTTATCCTGAATATAGCTTGTTTGTACAGATTTACTAGAATATTGTCTCCCCCCCTTAGACTGTGAGCTCCTGGAGGGCAGGGGATTGCCTTTTGCCTCTTTTTATAGCTAGCATTTAGCACAGTGCCTAGCATATAATAGGTATTTAATAAATACGTATTAACTGGCTGTATTTGCATATGCATAATGGGATAGAAAAAAAGGCTTAAGTATGAAACTACCCATCTCTATTATGCGCAGCTTCCCTTTAAAAAAAAAGTATATAATGAGATCAACCAGTTCCTTTCAAAGCTGCTCTGCTTATCTGGCCTTATTGGCCTTCCTTCTGCTCTTTTCTCTCCATAAAGCCAAGCTTTTTTTTTTTAAACCAAAAAGCATTTTCCTGCCCTCCTTCTCAGGCCCTGTAAGTTAGGGCTACTCACTGCAGTGACTAAAAAGGCTTTCCAGGGGTATTCCCTGGGTTTCAAAATTAGAGCAATTGATCTGCTTCTCGTCTCGCTTAGGAAAGGCCCCTGCAAATGAGCAATTAGGCGATAACTCAGCATCCAAACTAGAGGAAGGAAAAGGGGTAAAGGCCAGGACCCAAGACTGATGTGTCCAAAAGAGATCCTTTGGATGATATTCTTTAGACCTGCAGGCTGTCAAAGGGAGCAGGGAGCAGTCCTCCAAATGGCCTGATAGCTTCTCAAGGTTCTCCCAGCTTTCCCTTTGTATGCGGAAAACTCCATCTCTCGTGTGTATATGTGTTAAAGATGCTCCCTCTTTTGGGGTGCGGGGAGGAGGTTCCGAAATGGTGATTGGTGGGAATGAGGCAAGGTATTAATCGATTGCTTCACTTGCACACCTCAGTTTCAGGATCTTTGATGAAAGTAGTTTGTTGAGGGATGTAAGTATAGGATTGGCAAATTTCCCAATGTACCCAAGGTTGGTTAGCAACCTTCCCTGACCCAATTTCTAGGGCTTTTCCTCCGTAATTATGATATGTTTAACTACCTTGTGTTTATTTCTACTTATTCTCTTTATATACATTTATTATATATGCTTATGTGTGTATTTGTTGCCTTCCTTTATTAAAATGCAAGGTCCTTGACAGTAGGGAATATTTCATTCTCTGAGCATAAACCTGGCAAGTGATAGGCACTTAATGTTTGTTGATTGACTTTGTATCCTCTGAGCCTAGCATAATGCTTTGTACATAGTAGGAGCTTAATAAAAGCTTGTTGATTCTCCCTTCCAGATAGCCTGAGGATTCTCTATGTTCCTAGGGCTTCTACATCACACAAATGGAAGCCTGGGATGGGCCAACTGGGATTAAGAGAGAGGGAGGGCTTGTTTGATTGAATCACATTCTGAAATACTGAGGAGTTTGCCCTCCACCTGTGCAGAGCTAAGGGCAGAGGCCAAAGGGGTTAGATCTCTGTGCTTGGAAGTATGTTTCTCTCCTCACTCCCCCCAAAATGAATCCAAATCTCCAGAATCGTGAGTTCTGGGAGAGCCTACATGGAAAGATCCCAGGTCTGCTGGACTGGAAGATGAATGAGGAGCTGAAATTAGCGACCACCACTGACCAGCTACCCAGAGGTGAGTGAGCAATCTAGCCAGTGAGTGAAGGAAGATGGGATAAGGCTAGGGAAAGTGAGATTACATAAGAAAGGAGAGGTGAAATGAGGGAAAACTTCCTCTTGACCCAGAGCCCTTTCCTACTTTTTTGAACCTTCACATCTTTAAAAAAAAAAAAATCCTGTCCTGAGTATCAGGAAATCTGACTTTGTTTCCTAGCTCCCCCACTAACTAGCTGTGTGACCTTAGACAAACTTCCTAGGCACAGTGTAACTTAACAGTGCTAGACAGTGAGGCAGGCAGGTATGAGCTCTGTGACAGCAGGGGCTGACAGTATCATCTTGTATTCTCCTCATTGCCTAATATATAATTCGAGGTTGGTATTCCCTCCACCTACAAGGATCCATGTTGAGCCTTAACAGATCTGGGCCAGTTTACTCTTCTGTAAAATGAGTAGGTTGGATTAGCTACATGTAAAGTCCTTTTCAGCTCAATGTTCTGCCTTCCGGTTCTTACTGAGGGCAGACATGACCCCCTTACAGGATTCAATACCCGTCATGACCCCAGAAACATAGACAATCAGTTGGAAAGGAACTTAGAGGTCTTTGAGTCAAACCTCTCCCCACCCCCACCCCTGCCCAACAGATGCTCAAATCCCTTCTAGCCCAAAAAGTAGCAATAATCATAAGAGTTGACTTTTACAAAATGCTTTAGATTAATGTTTGCATATATTATCTCATTTGAGCCTCGCAAAAATCCAGGCAGGTGGGTATTATAAGTATTATCATTCGCATTTTATGGATAAGAAAATTAAAGTAACTTGTCCAGGATTCCACAGCCAATAAGTATTGGAGACAAGATTCAAACCCAGATCTTCTCAAGGCTCTTTCCGTTACCCCCTGCACCTAGCACAGTGCCTGGTACTTAATAAATGCTTCTGGATTGATTGTTACATGTCCAAGTTATTAGCCCCCATTCCTGATCTCCCACAGCACTTAGATTCTATACTTTACCACTGAGTACTGGAATATCTGCCTGTCTTGTTTGGTTCTCAGGTGTGTTTGATACCTTGTCTCTCTTGATTGTAAACAGTTGAAGGAAAGAGACCTTTAAAAAGCCCTCTAGATCAAGGGTTTTTAGCCCTTTTTATGCTATGGATCCCTTGGGCAGTCTGATGAAGCCTGCAGACCCCTTTTCAAAATGTTTTTAAATGCATAAAATAAAAATACATAGGGTTCCACAGGAAACCAATTATTAAAATAGCTCTTTTTAATTAAAAAAAAAGTTCAAACACCCAAGTTAATGCTTAGCATACAGCAGGTGCTCAATACAGACTTGTTGACTAATTTATTCCATGTTTCCCAATTTGGGATTGATTTAAGGGTGTTTAGGCAGAGAGGCAGCCTTGCTGAAGGATATATAACCTGGGTCAGACTTGGAGAAAAGAAAACCTAAAATCAGCCAGCATTTACTCAGTTTTTCATTGTGGGCCAAACCACCTTTGTCCAGGACAAGTAACCTAGTCTTGACCCTTTGGGAAAGCATTCAGATGACCAAGAGAAGGCTGCTCTCTCTAAAGAAAGCAAACACCCACCCATATTGCATAGACAAACAGCAAGCACTGGTGTATAAAGCACTGCATTAATCACTAGGCAGGCAACTCAATTCACCTACTATGTGCTAGGCACTTGGGATACAAAGGCAAAAATGAAACTGCCTCTTCCCTCAAAGAGCCATACTCTGTGGTTGCTGGGAAATAATATATACATAGAAAATTAAATATCTAATATATACAAAGTGATTTCAAGTATAAATCTAAGATGAAGGAAAGCTAACTATTAACAATGGTTAATATTAACAAAGGAGGCAACTAGGTGGCTCAGTGGATAAAGCTCTGGGCCTGGAATCTGGAAGGCTTGAGTTCAAATCCAGACTCAGACACTTACTCGCTGTGTGACCCTGGGCAAGTCACTTTACCTGCTTGCCTTAATCCACTGGAGAAGGAAATGGCAAATCACTTCAGTATCCTTGCCAAGAAAACCCTATGAACACTATTGACATGTTATGGTCCACAGGGTCAAGTAGAGTCAGACATGACTGAATGATAGCAACAGCAATATTAACAATAGAAATGGGGTTCCAGAGGCCACAATGGAAGGGCAGGGTGAAAGTGGGTAGGGATTCAGTAGGGATGGAGCAGACATGGGTGAGCATGAAGGAGTAGGGGGGGGTAGGGGAGGATACAATAAGACACAAACACAGATCACTTGAATAATACAGTATTACATGACATTTATTAGAGAAGGGTCAAAGCGTTGTGTGTGTGTGACATCTAGGAGGAGATGGCATTTGAGATGATCTTTAAAAGGTGAGGGTGGGCGACGTCAGGCAGCTAGGTAGAGCAGTGAATAGAGCACCAGCCCTAGAATGTGACCCTGAGCAAGTCACTTAACCCCGTTGCCTCCAAAAAAAAAAGTGAGCAAGGACACAATGAAAGAAGGTAGGGGTAGAGGCCTTGGTGCCCCTATTCCCTTTCTCACTTGCCCCTTCATTCTGCCCCTTTACCTACTTTCCCTGGCTTCAGTTTCTTCCCTCTCTAGCTCTTGCCCTATCAGAAACAGAAAAAGCCAAACAACCAGCAAGCCCTTCTTCTCTCCGAGTGGGTCAGTGCCCCAGTCAACTTTAAAAGAAAAGGGCTCAGGACCTTGGGGTCAGAATGTCCTAAGAGACTGATAGCCAGGTACCTAAACTAGAGTCAGATACCAAAAACCACTCAGGGTCTCAACCTGTCACCCTCAACTCTCACTGTCCCTCCCCCC